TACACATTAAAATTAAAATATATATAAATTTAACACTAAGTTACTTTATATTTATGTTTTAACTTTAGAGTGCGCAATAATGTATTTAATTTATACAATAAAATTATTTTACTATAAAACATTTTACTATAAACATTTATTGAATTTTGGCGACATTAAAAAAAATTTTTAATACAAAATAATGAAAATAAAAAACATTAAGAGATGTTACTTACTAGCAGAAGTAATAAAATAAAAAGTAGTATATTTGCAATGTTCATGTTTCTCCTCATTATAAGTTAGTTGAAGAAACCAGTTAGACAGCACTATGGTTAATGAGAGTATAACCTCATAGAACGTATTCAATATGAATATTTTGTTGATATTTGATTTTTGATAACAGTATAGAATTTGCATTCAATTGTATTATAAATGCCAAATATGAAATTGAATGAATACATAAATGCCACATCAATCAGTTGTGTTGTGTGCAGTGTAACACAACATAAATTCATATCAATGATTTTGTAGAACAAACTATAAAACATTTTAAAAAACTTCAACGTTTTGAGCAGTTATTTAATGTGTATAATATTTTTTTATTTAATATGTTTAAAACTGTGCGCCGAATTAATTTTTTCAAATTTAGAACGCATCTAAACTGTAATAATATCACAAGTAATAATATCACAATATATCGGGAATCAGATCTCTAGAGTTCCATGCGAGAATCCTAAGCCTTGTCCTTTAGACCGAGGCCTTAGTAATATTCTTTGCAATAATTAGTATATGTATGGAAACTATGTCTTTATTTCTGGCGACGTAATATAAACAATAATCTTGCATTAAGATGTCTTTACTAGATGCCTATTGAGCATCAAAATTTAATTATATTGCTACAATAGTTTAATTGTGTTTCTGCATGAAAGAAATGATGCATCATTTGTTGTTCACCACATAAAAAGATACATCATGCACTTAACGCGTAACTCGGCACCCTAAGTTTGAAAAAAATGATAATTATTTAGTAGCAAGGGAATACTCTCCAATAACCTTGACCTTAATACATATTGTCAAGGTCATGCCCCTGAGTGACCTTGAATAAATTTTACCCGTCGCTCGTTGTTCGTTAAAAAGTTGTTAACAAAAAAAATTCATTAAAAAAAATGTGGTTTTAAAGCAAAAAATTTGTTTGTAAAGAAGACATTCCTAGAAAAAGAATCAGATATATCATCACACACAGCAATTGACTGAACTAACTTTTGCAGAGAGAATAATTCATGTAATTTAATAACTTGGTAAAACTGCAAATGAAGAATAATGTCAATTGTTTGTAAAGCAGGAAATTTGTGTTTTTGAAGTAAAATATTTGTATTTTTGAAATAGAAAACTTGCTTATTAAAAAATTCTCTACTTAATAAATAATTACAACAATCAGGCTTCTCAGCTCATGAATCAATGGTTAATGTACAATCAAAATTAAATTGGCGGAGAGAATGAAATGAATTATTGTCGAAATCGACGAGGCAAAAATCATATAAGAAAAATTATATAAGAAATTATGTAAGAAAATATTTTGCGCTGTAAAAGCAATTTATTTCATCGAAACGCAGTCGTGTCCAAAAGTTAGGTTTTATTGATGAACTTTGTTTGTTAATAACTTTTTAAGGAACAACGAGCGACGACTAAAATTTGTCCAAGATCACTCGGAGTCATGAGACTTTGACAACATATGTTAATAATTTTTCTTGAACTTGAGCGTATTATCACACGAATATGTATATTTGAATGTGTTGTTTATTACTTAACATTTCATTTGACATTTCATGTATTTTGTGAGTTATGCAAATTTAAACAATAGCACAGCATTTTATTAATGTGGCCCTCTATGCGTATTAATTACTCATGGCCTCTTTTTTGAGGTTTTCATATTAAAATAATTTGATAATCGATTGCAGTTCTACTGTTAATCTATAGTTTATATTATATGTAGATTTCTAGTATTGAGTAACTTATATGCGGCAGGAGTTATGTACATATATTTGCATAATTCGAATACATATACTCTATAATATTTTACTTTTTATATGAATTTTCTAACCAAATAATATTTTTTAAACAAAATTTTTTAAACAATTTTTTATGTCTATTTTTGTAGAAGGCTATATTACTACTCCTGTTTTTTTTTTCGAACTATTATGTAATGTCGTTACATTTTTATAAATAATGTTCTAAGTAATAAATGTTTCATAACTTTAAGTCTAGAATTGATTGAACAACATTTTGATAAAAATAATTGTTGAGTTTTTAAATTTAAATATTGATTAACCAAGTTATTATATAAAATATAAGTACCATAGTACACTTTCTCTAAGCTATGTCGGCAAATATACTTTTTACATAACCATCAATTGATAAATTATCGTCAACCGTTAAATATCATTACTTTTAATATTTAAATGTATTCGAAATGCTGTGCCAGAGGCCACTATATATGACAGACTTGTCTAATATTAGCATAGAGTTCCTTTTTTTATTTATATTTAATTGACGTTAAAAAAACTTACTTTTAAAGTTAAATTATTTTATAACTGGGTTCTTGTATGATGCATTTTTATAATAAAATACACGTAATTTTATATAATAAAGTTTGATTTACAATAAGATGAGAGAATCCGTGAATCAAGATGAAACATTTTCTTTGAGTTTTATTTCTTTGATTTTTCGATTAGATAACATTAAAATTGAATTTTTTAAAAATATAAATGTGTAATAAGTGAAAATTAATTTAAATATTTAATAATTTTACTTATATTATTTCATTATAGTATTTGTCTGCATCATTGAATCTATGATAGTTTTTGACGAAAGTACATTTTCTTATAATTATTCAGGTAAGATCTGTTACTAATGCTATAGATTAAAAACACTTTATATATAACTGTGCTATCGTTAATTATTGAGTACAATTTATCTGTTTGACATGTTTGAGGTTTGCAAAGTGTTAAATAAAACATTAAATTGAATGATTAACAAGTCAATTTTTCTTAGAATTGAAAAAGTAAAAGTTGCCATAATAAATAATGGATTATAGGAATGTATAATTTAAACTGGTAAATTTACATTATTTATTTAACACAAAAACAGTTTTAATACAAAATTAAAAATATTCGTGTACTATATTGACTAGCATTATGATTTAATATCATAACTGAGTAGGAACGTTGATAGTTTGTTATTTATTCGCGTATATATATATATAATTTATAATGTTGCGTTCAACATGACGTATTTAAACGTGGGAGATTATAAAAAGAATGCAGCAATTTCTCATACTCGATAATTTTTTCATAAACGTTTTTCTAATATAAAATAATTCATGTATGC